ATACATACCTATACATATACATATACATGTACATATACATATACATACACATACACATATAAATGTACATATACATGCACATATACATATACATATACATATACATACACATACATACATACATACATACATACATACATGCATACATGCATAAACACGTGTACATACATGCATATACATAACTTTCATAGATGTGGATATATTTATAGGTATATGGATGTATGTGTGTATATATTTATATCCTTTGTATATATATATATACACATATGCATACATACATATATATATATATATCTATACATATATATATATATGCATGTTCGTGCGTATGTATGTTGTTGGAGACACATGCAGATGCGTGTGTTTGATGTTTTTTTTGCCAGCACGTACAGACACCAATCCACGATGCCACCCGTCCTGTGTAGATTTTGGCTGGTTAGGGACCTGCGCCCATCAACCAGTTCACCCTTTCACCAATCAGTTTGATCCTCTGCAAGGTAATGTCCTATAATGGTCCTATTATAATTTGAGGACAATGAGGGGGAAGAGACCGGTGAAATGGTCAAAGGGTGAGGCGGACTAAGCATGCGGGGGACGTGAAATGGTAGAGGCCGAACCACATGGGCAGATCCATCCCACACGTCCGCGCTAGAGTTCCTACTGCTGCCTGTTCGATTGAGCCTGCAGTGCGATTGTGACTGTAGTAGGCCCGTTCACCTTGTCTTCAAAGTTGTTCCGAGCTGGTGCCATTTTTGCATTGTTTAGCACTTTGCGGGTCGACGTGCAGCACTCGACCATGATATGCTGTCGATGTTTTCCTTCAAGTGGTTTCGTCGGTGCAGCCCGCTGCACGAAGGGGTCTGGGTGCATACTTTTTCTGGCCAGCCATTCGGGGCACGGGTCGGCTGGGATTCAGTTGTTTCTCGTATTTTACCTAGATGTATGCTGTTGGGTACTTACCCGACTCTACCCTCATCCGTATGGGCGAAGGGGGCTGTTTGCATATTGGCGCGGTTGTTCATAGGTTCGCGGGGGTGTTCACGTGGCTGTTCGTGTGTCGCCGCTGTTCGTGTTTTCGCCCTGGTTGGTTGCCTGCTTGACCGTGTTCCATGCGTGTCATCGGCTTTATGTGTGAAGGGTGATGAAAGGCTTGAAACTAGCACCTTGAGTGTGATGTTTTCTGGGTGTTTGTCCCAAACTCGGCCAAGGAGTCCCACCGAACGGGGCTGGTATTTCGGAGTGTGTGTTGATTGCTCGGCAAGGTGCTTTCTGTCTCAATCCCATGAACCCTCTTCTGTTCACTCCGGCTTAGGCACCTTTTAGCCTCTGGGGGTGTTGCCTGAAAACACAATGCAACCACATCGAATTCACACAGAAGAGCCGTGTGTCACGGGAATGCACAAATGCCCCGACAGCCCGGAAACACTACAAGGCACAAGCCGGGATACAGTTTGAGCCATAGTAGGCTGTATATTGTAGCGTGCAACATGTTCTCACATGTGGGTGCTTTCGCTGGGCTTTTGTTTCCATCCTCGACGGGTTTGTTGTTCCGCAGTCCTCTGTTCAAGGCACAGGTTCTCGGGCACAGGTTCCCATTCGAGGCCATGAGACACTGCATGCTCTTGGCGTTGGCGTTGACAATAAAGGTCACGCCCATGGTGGCCGCTGGGCGACGCGGTGGTGAAAAAACGGGAAAGGCTGGAGGTGAAGCGTTTGAGCATTGTGCATTTCTGTTCCTCCCTGTCTGGTCCGAGGGCATGACGAGCAGCAGCAACACGGGTAGCAGCATAGCTCTCATGAGTGCACTTATAGCCGACCGGACTGAATTATCCCACGGACATGCTGCGAGGCAGTCCTCTGACGGCATTCCCAGCAAGTTCGTCACGTCCGAGCGCGGACCAGATTGCTTGGCGATGCTGCGCGAATGGATCGACGACTCTCCGTGCGGCGTCCACGCATGGATGCCTGTGACGCTGTATTTGCCTCCAGTGCCTGCCGACAATGTCATGCAAAAGAGGGCTGTGGCATAGGCTGTGTCAACATCGCTGACATGGAGCGCTTGTTCTCGCCGATGTCGCACCGTAGCCGCGTTGGTTGATGTCGAGAAGGTGGAGTGATTCCGTGGCGTATACTTGGGGGCGGTGCAGCACTTGGATAGAAAGCAGACTGCCTCTTTTTTTGTCGTGCAAGATTGGCAACATTGCCGCATGGCCCGCATGGCCCATGATCATTGCCTGAGGCTGCGCAAGAGGACGTGCACCAGCACGGTCACGGCCTTCTGGGGCGAGGAGCGGCGTTACTTTTATGCGCTCTGCCCCATGCGAGCTCTCCCGTTTTTGGGTGGGCGAGCACCGATGCTGTGCCTCGAGGACTTCATGAGGCTGACCTGCCCCCGAATTTGTTGAATCGTCTGCTTATTTATTTCAGTGACATGGTGAACTTGTTTGAGGGTTTTGCAGAACATGGAGGAAATGCAGAAGGGGATATATATATATATATATACATACAGTCATTGAAATTTGATAGCCACGCTTTCGTCGTTTTTCTGGAGGTAGCAGATGTGGAGGTACGGCTAGGCGTACGGGTGGTACGGCGCGACGGCACGATTGGAGGGTACGGGGGTACAGCGTGCGGGGGTACGGTACAGGGGTACGGTTCAGGGAGTGGCTCTTGAATGTAAATACATACAGCATTACCCCTTTAAACCCATTTGTTATATACAACATACATATAGGTCTACATCTGCATATACATACACATATACGTACACATACACATACACTTTACGCGGCTTGCACATACATGTACACATGTACATATAAAGCATGATAAAGACAGGGTCAAAGCCTTCAATGTGGACGTGTCACTTTCGGGTTGTTTGAGTCCAGAGCCCCTTCAACATCGTCGGGTTGAAATGAGGTCTTCGGGGAATCGTGTCTGTTCTATGGAACGGAGTTTGGCTGAGGCCAAAACGCGGTGGCTCGAACACGATTTCCGAACGCCCTCAAAAAGTTAGGTCGTAATGGCAACGCCCTAGTTTTTTAGGGTGGCTGGAGGCACAGGGACATATAAACATATATACATATATACATATATACGTATATACATATATACGTATATACATATATAATATATACATATATACATATACATATATATATATATATATATTACATATATATATATATATATATTGAAAGAGCTTTAGATTAGGATTCGGTGGCTCTACAGGGAATTCCCTAAACCCTAAACCCCA